ATCTTGCGTGTGCTGCTTTTCGTCTTCTCTCAAGATCCTCAAGTCGTTTCTCTTCTTTGATTTCCTCTTTTGATTTCTCTGGTGCTTCTGTGTCTTGTGCCTGTTTGTCTTCTTGTGCTTTATCGTTTTTTGGTTGTCTTTGTTTCTTTCGTCTGTTTCTTTGGTGCAGTGGGTTCTTTCGTGTTGGGACACTGTGTCACGTCAGCATCCTTTTTACTGCCGTCCTCAGTGTGTGCGGTCTTGTTCTCATTTCCTGGATGTTGCTCTGCAGGCTTTGCATCGTCGATAGCTGCTGCGTCCATTTTCCCCCGTGCTATGTTGCCGCTCTCTTGAAGCTGTTCCATTGTTGAGGCTCGCTGCAACTGCATTGCTATGTCCTCCGGTGATGGCTCTGACCAATCATAGGTGGTCTGTGTTGCGGATCTGCTGTATTGGCTGGATGGCTGTGGGCTGCTGGCAACCATGTTGTCATCTTTTTCCCAGGGCGGTGGCCAATCCCAATGCTTGTGCATCCATGGAACCTCTTCCCTCCATTGGCTGTACCCACCATACCCACACCAATCCCAGTCGTTCTGGTGCCTGTGTGTGTTCCCATCCCATGAGCCACCCCATGAGCCACCCCATGAGCCACCCCATGACTCCCAGTCGTTGCTCCACTCAGAGCACCCCTGGCGCCTGAACCCAATAATCTCAACTTCCTCTGGACTTCTTTCATTGCCTTCATTGGCTGCTTGCCAAACCCAATCTGCCAGCTGGCTGGCTGCCCTGGCTGGTGTAGCGATCTCATTTGGTTTTTGCGTGTCTTTATCTGCTGCTGGCTTTCCTTCAGGTGCTGCTGCCTGCTTGACTGGCGATGTTGCTGGCAGCATTGGTTCATTTGCCGGATGTGTTTTCTCTTCTTTGTGCTCGACTGTAGCTGCTGCTGGCTGTGCTTCAGATGCTGCTGCCTGCTTGACTGCCGTTGTTGCTGGCAGCATTGGTTCATCTGCCGGATGTGGTTTCTCTTGTTTGTGCTCGACTGTAGCTGCTGCTGGCTTTGCTTCAGATGCTGCTG